TTTGCCTGGAGCTGATTTTATATACCGAAGAATGCGGACAACTGCATCCCAATGACTATCACAGGGAGAATCCATAAACTGACTCACAACACTCACAGGAAAGGAAATGTCAGGTCTAGTCACTGTGAGGTAATTTAATTTACCAACCAACCGCCTATATCTTGCAGGATCGCTAAGAGGCTCCCCCTGTCCTGGCAGAAGTTTAGAATTCGGATCCATCGGAGTGTCAACAGGTCTACAACCTGTCATTCCTGTCTCCTCAAGAATATCTAAGGCATACTTCCGTTGTGAGATCACAATACCTGAGCTAGACTGAGCGACCTCAATACCCAGAAAATACTTTAATCTGCCCAGATCCTTAGTCTGAAAGTGCTGAAAGAGATGTTGCTTCAACTTACTAATACCATCCTGATCATTGCCGGTAATAACAATATCGTCAACATAAACGACCAGATAAATACAGAGATTTGAAGCAGAATGTCGATAAAATACAGAGTGATCAGCTTCACTACGAGTCATGCCAAACTCCTGAATAACTGTGCTGAACTTACCAAACCAGGCTCGAGGAGACTGCTTTAGACCATAGAGGGACCGGCGCAACCGACATACAAGGCCACTAGACTCCCCCTGAGCAACAAAACCAGGTGGTTGCTCCATATAAACCTCATCCTCAAGGTCACCGTGAAGAAAAGCATTCTTAATGTCCAACTGATAGAGAGGCCAATGGCGAACAGCAGCCATGGATAGAAAAAGGCGGACTGATGCAATTTTAGCCACGGGAGAGAAAGTATCACTGTAATCGAGTCCAAATATCTGAGTATATCCTTTGGCAACAAGACGAGCCTTAAGTCGATCAACCTGGCCATCTGGACCAACTTTGACTGCATACACCCAACGACAACCAACAGTCGATTTACCTGAAGGAAGAGGAACAAGCTCCCAAGTACCACTCGTATGTAAAGCAGACATCTCGTCAATCATAGCCTGTCGCCATCCGGGATGAGACAGTGCTTCACCTGTAGACTTAGGAATGGAAACAGAGGACAAAGATGACACAAATGCACAATGGGATGATGAGAGACGATGGTAACTTAAACCGATATAATGAGGATTAGGATTAACTGTGGACCGTATACCTTTTCGTAGTGCAATCGGTTGATTAAGAGGAGACAAGTCCGCAGTATTAGCAGGGTCAGGTGCAGGACGTGAATCAGCTGGGCCTGATGCTGGGGGCGGACGACGATGATAAGTCAGGAGTGGTGGAGCTGTAGAAGGTTGAACTGGACTAGGTGGTGGCACTGGAGCTATAGTTGGTGGAACTGGACTAGGTGGTGGCACTGGAGCTATAGTTGGTGGAACTGGACTAGGTGGTGGCACTGGACTCGGTGGTGATACTGGAGCTATAGGTGGTGGAGCTGTAACTGGAACTGTAGGCGGTGGAGCTATGGAGGAAGATGAATGGGAGATAGGGACTGAATCTCCAAAAGAAGGAACAGGTAGCACCTCAGAAATATCTAAGTGATTAACTGGACCTGTGAAGTATGATTGGGTTTCAAAGAAGGTAACATCAGCAGACATAAGAAATCGCTGAAGGTCAGGAGAATAACATCGATATCCCTTTTGCGTTCTCGAGTAACCCAGAAATATGCACTTAAGAGCACGAGGAGCTAACTTATCTTTTCCTGGAGTAAGGTCATGAACAAAGCACGTACTCCCAAAGACACGGGGTGGAAGAGAGAACAAAGGTAAGTGGGGAAACAGGACAGAGAATGGAACTTGATTTTGGATAGCTGAAGATGGCATACGATTAATAAGATAACAAGATGTAAGAACTGCATCCCCCCAAAAACGCAGCGGAACATGAGATTGTATGAGTAGGGTACGAGCAGTTTCAATAAGATGTCTATTCTTTCTTTCAGCTACCCCATTTTGTTGGGATGTGTACGGACAAGATGTTTGATGAATAATCCCATGGGAGTTCATAAACTGCTGAAATGGAGAAGACAAATACTCTAGGGCATTATCACTACGAAATGTGCGGATAGAAACCCCAAATTGATTTTGAATTTCAGCATGGAAGGTCTGGAAAATAGAAAACAACTCAGATCGATTTTTCATCAAAAATATCCAAGTGCACCTGGAATAATCATCAATGAAACTGACAAAGTAGCGGAATCCTAAGGTAGAGCTAACCCGACTAGGACCCCAAACATCTGAATGGACTAAAGTAAAAGGTGACTCTGCTCGATTGTCAAGACGCCGCGGGAAATGGGAGCGGGTATGCTTACCGAGCTGACACGACTCACACTCTAAAGTGGACAAGTGAGATAAGCCAGGTACCATTTTCTGAAGTTTTGACAAACTGGGATGTCCTAACCGTTTATGTAATAAATCTGGTGAATCAGTAACGGGAGAAGTTATTGGAGGAAGACAAGATGTGAGTCCATGTGATTTTGCAAGGATAAGGTAATAAAGTCCATCTGATTTACGCCCGGTACCAATGATCCGCCCTGTACTGCGTTCCTGTATAAAAACAAGGTCATCAAGAAATAAAACAGCAGATTTAAGTGATTTGGCTAAGCGACTAACCGCTATGAGATTAAAAGGACTACCAGGAACATAAAGAACTGAGTCTAAAGGTAAGGAAGGAAGTGGACTTGCTTGACCTATTGCAGTTGCCATGGCTTGAGACCCATTGGCCATTGTGACTGTTGGAAGAGATTGAGAATATGAGATACTAGTGAAAAGAGATTTGTTACCAGAAATATGATCAGATGCACCTGAATCAATGACCCAAGACTCAGAAGGTGAAGATTGGGAGACACCAGTTATGCTACTATTTGTTGGAACAACGGAGGTTAATCCTGAAGATGTCTGTTTACGTGCTTTGTATTGAAGGAACTCAATATAATCCGGTAAAGAAACCATTTGGATTGAATTTGTTGCATTTAATCCAATGGATTGTGAGTTACAGGCTTCAGGTACGAATTCCATTATAATATCGTCCCGGAAAAAGCAGAAAATTGCTGGGATCACTGTTCACGCGGGAAAAATCACTGTAGCTTGCCGGAAAATTCCAAAGTTGTCGGAAATAGTACCAATGGACTCGGAATTGTGAGGTGAGCAAGCTGTCCTGAAGAAATTTCGCGAAAAAGTGGCCGGAAAAGGTGTCACGCGCCGGCGCGTGGGGTCGGAGCTTCGCCGGAAAATTTCTTCCGGCGGCGCGTGGGGGGGTCTTCTGACGGAGAAATTTTTACGGGTTGGTGGCCGGAGGCCGATCTACTTTGTGGTGGTGTTGGTTTTTGCACAACACTGCCGAAAAGTGGTTTTTTGTTATGAACGGCCTCTTTAGTCGCCGGAAAATTGCACGGCAACGAGGTCTTTCTTCCCGGAGGCCGCTGGAATGATGCACAGCGATAATTTCTCACTTTAGCTCTGATACCATGTGAGAATGCACGGGAGAAAAATCTTATTGATATATTGACAATGCTACAATGAGCCCTATATATACACACATAACATATCCTACTTCTAATACATATTGGATTAGGGTTAGAGTTATTTACTCCTATTTACACGACTATTCTAACAATAACTTTGGAGTTGGAATTAAGATTTCATAACTAGAAGAACCTTCTTTAAGTAAATCAAGCAATTAATACTCTCTCGAATGTATCCAAAATTACACATGAAGGTGCACCAGCTAACAAAGTGTATTATTTAAGCAAACTGCAAAAAATTAGCGAAGCAACAACCAAATGAACCAGAAAGAAAAAGGAAGTTTAAAAATTGAGATCTAGGTAGTCGCGATAATCTGTTGTCCTCGTTTTGGCCGACAAAACTAAGCCAAGATGCAATTCGAAAAAAAAATGAGGTGGGATGAAACTAATTTAACCTGTGGTAGGAAAAATACCACCCTCCTCCATATACAAAGAAACTCTGCATCACAAATAACCCCAAGAGAGAAATGGGACTTCTATTTTTGTTAGAGGGTAGCCAGGTGGGAGTAGAGCAAAACTAACTTCCCTCGGTTGACAGTTCCATAATACACATCAAACTATCTTGAACATTCTTTTAGATTTCAGCAACATTCAGGTTAAATTCTTTACTTCCCCATAACCCATCAAGCAGCATCCAATGAACTGCACGCGTTTCATTTTTAGACTGCTTTAGCTAAAATGTGTTTAATATGTACGCTTTTAGAGCAGTTTAGGTGTTCAATAGGTACTAGCTCGTGTATAGGTGTCTAAATGAAAGTCATATTTGTTTAGGGGGGCCCATATGTATTTGGCCAATTGTATTCTTTTGGCTTTCTTGAGTGATAAGACTTTTACTTTTCTCTGTTTGGCAAAAAGTATCATCACTAAAACAGGCAGCAGAGAAGTATTTAGGGATGCGAAGAACCAGCTCCAGAGGATCAATGACCTTTTTCTCTATATTTTACATGTGCTACAACTATAATTCAATACTTCTCATTCAGATAGTTCATACTAAAAACTCTATTGTTCCAAAGAGAGGGAAAATCATATAGATACCAAATGAAATTGATATGTACCTGTTTGACCCTCTGTTGCATCTCAAGGTACTTTTCCTCAGAGAAAAGGAGTATACTCGTTGAACTTGGAATGTCCTTTTCCTATGATGGAAAACCTCAAAAAATAGAGGGATAATTGTCAGGTATAATGACGGAAGCACATCCTAAAAGATAAAAACAAACAGGACCACTTGCTTTGCACATCTTATCGACTTAATGTATGTCTGAAGTCTCGGATATTTCTTCACTCAGGACTCATTCGGTTTTATGTATCAGATAGAATAATCATGATATAAGATTTAGTATTTGCTTTAATCCATGTACTGTTATTCCATGTTATTAGCTATAAAATAATACACGAATCAGTGTTACCTCAACTGAATATTCAAAGGAGCACTTCACCTGTTCTTTCCATCTCACGCTGGAAAAGAATGTCGGCCGACAATACACAAATCAGAGTGCAAAATCAATAAATGAGATGTAAGTTGAAATCTGAAAAGAGTTATCAATCCAAACTGACTAGAAGCCCAACTATTTTTTTATTTTTTATTTTTTGCACAAAACTGGAAAGAATTCAATCAGGTGGAATATGGAATACAATTGAGGGTCAATCTCAACGGTGAGGTGACGTTGACAATGCTGAGGCACAAGTAGGATCACGATATTAAAGAAATCTTCATTCATCAGCACTTAATACTACCAATGCTTGAAGCTAAATCTTCTTTGCCACAACCTCTAAGACATTCAATTACATTCTTAGTACAAGGACCTTTAAGCTGAATTCCTTTCCCTACCATTAGATTAGCAAGCTTTGCAGCTTCAACAAGATGATTTTCCTCACATAGTCCAGCCATAAGTATAGAATAAATATCAGAATCTATAGAAGATATGCCTGCAGACTGCTCAATCGCGTCAATCAAGTGATATCCATCAAGTATCCTTCTCTGCTGACAAAGCCATCTCATTATTGTGCTTGAGGTCAAACCATCAGGCTTTAGGCCACCAGCCAACATTCTCCTAAAACACATTTCTGCCTCCTTGAGTTTTCCAATCCGAAACAGTGATAAAACTAGAAAACTGTAACAAGAATCATATGGAATACCACATTCAGCTACTCTGTTGATGACTTGATGAGCTTCCTCCATATGCCCATCTTTGCAAAGACCATGAATCAAAGTACAGATAAGTACTCTATTCGGTTTACAACCAAAATCCCTCATTTGGTCCAAAATACTTAATGCCTCTATCGACTGACCTTTCTCAATAAAATTCTGAACCACAGTAGTGTAAGTAACGACATTTGGCTTACACTGCCCGCCATCTTTTTCCATTTCTCTCAATAACTCAAGTGCCCTTTCCAAACTCCCAAACCTACAAATCCCATCAAGAAGAGCTGAATAGGTCACCGTATTTGGCACGCATCCATGTCCCCTCATACCTTTGGTTAATCCACAAGCTTCTCCCAACCTACCCACCTCAGACAACCCCTTAATCATCACAACATAGGTGATCATATCAGGATGAAGATCACTCGAATCCATCTCTCTCATCAAACACATAGCCTCATCAATATCACCCTTCTCGCACAATAATCGAATAACTACATTATACACTGTAGTGTCTGGCCGACAGTTGGACTCTTTCATTTTCTTCAATACCCACAAGCCCAAGGTAGCATCTTTTCCCACTCTACACAAATTCAATATAACCTTAAACATCTTAGCACTTGGAACATAATTATTCTGCAGCCTATAAGCCTCAATGAAATCTTCAATAATTCGTGGTTCGCGATCAAATCCAAGCAATTTATAAGCTCTACTGTACATGTAACTGCTGTGTCTATAGCTGGGATAAAGTCCAGACCAAATGAAGAATCTGAGACCCATATGAGGATCATCAATGGCGCATTTCTCTAATACTTCATTAACACATTTAGCATCAAGTTTAGTCTTAACCGTGTTCAGAGACTTCTCCAGACCAGACCCATTTTTACTTTTCAGCAAATGACTCAAGAATTCTCCAGCTGATGATGAACAAGTGGTGGAAAAATGGACCTTCTCGAGTAAAAATTTTGGCTTATTGGCTGGCTGAGTGGTCAAGAAAAGGCGAGAAATTGATGGAGGAAGCATAATTTTCTCATAAGGAATTGAATTTTGGATATGATTGGCGGAATTGTAAGAAAGTGAAATCAGCTGCTTGTATGATTAGAAATATGCGGTAAATTTGTAGACCTCGATTTCAAGAACTGAAAATTTAGAAAACACAATAAGAAAAATATCATCATTGTGGCCTTTTGTATTTTTATTTCATACTCAAGAGGTAGTAGACTAGTACTGTATCTAAGAATTTGTAGCCATTATAGGAAGCAAATAAGAATGCAAGAAAGTAATCAACTTCAATAAAAAATCAAAAGGAAATATGAAAAAGTCAAATATTTCTGAGCATCACCAAATTCAAAAACATAGAAATTACTGAAGAAGAAGAAGAAGAAGAAGAAATTAGAGTTTTGAAGAGGACTGACACAGAAGGATAAACAAAGAGGGGAACCTATAACTTGATTTTCGCCGGAGAATTTCGCCGGAAGAGATGGAGAACAGAGAGGCCGCACTGGGGAACAGAGGGGAAGGCGCAGTTAGCTTAATGGACTGGCCGAGGAAGATAAATTTGGGCCTGGGGTTCTAAAATAGAGGGCCCAATTAATCAGACTCAAATTCATTTCTGTTGTCCTTGAGGAGCTAGAGGAAATTTGGGCTTGTGACAGAGTGAGTGACTGCTGCCTAATTTTTTTGAAAAATTGGCATCCTATAACAACACATAACAAGAATTGGTAATTTTTTAGTCTTCTATTAGGTTTGACAAAGATAGCCCCAAAAAATTGGCATTATATAATCAAATCCTAAAAAAACTACTCTCTTATATATTCTCTCTCAATAAAAAAGTACTCGCTTATTTTGGCTTCCCTCCCCCTTTCTCTCCTTTTATTTCTTCTTTTATCTCTTCTCTTTGACCCTCATAGTTTGGCAAAAATTCTTGCAAATTATGCAAAAAAAATTAGTGGGATGAAAAGGTAAGGCTGATCTCACATCAGAGAAAATCAGAAGCAAAAACTAAGAGAGAAAAAATACATTTCAAATTTGTTTTTCTTCTCTCTTCTTTTTAATGGTTGGATTGAACGAGTGGGTATGATTGAAATTTGTTAAAAATACCTAAACGAGGCTATATACAGAATTTGAGCAAGATTAGAAATGATTAGACTGGTTTCAGGTAAAAAATCAAACCTAAAAATCCAATAGAGACATGTGTATATCACATTGTATATAGTGTACATCAGTGAATATCACACACAGGTTTTTAAGGACATTTGTGTATATCATGTATACAACATATTTTTTTATGGATGCCAGCGTATATCATAGTGTATATCGTATATATAACACAAATTTTTATGGATATGCACAGATACATATGATATACATGATATATTACTGATGTACATAGAGATATACATGAGAAACAATAGGGGATACATATGTGGAATCATCTTGAACTTGAGTTTTCAATCTGAAATATGTTATACAAAGAAGAAAAATAAAATTTTAATATACTTTTTTGATATACAAATTATTATTATGTTATACACTGTGATATATAAATAATATAATTATTAATGTGTTTTATATATATTTGGATATACAGATAAAAAACTAGAAAAATTATTAAAAAATATTTGGAATTTTTTTCGGATACTACTGAAGGAAATGGAACCTAATTTCTAGGATGATGGTTGCTGTGAGAGAAGAGAGAGAGGATTTTAAATATTTTTTGCCATTTTTAAGGAAAATAATTTTTAAGGGGCTTATTTTTAGGATGGTGATTGAACCATTAGAAGAGAGAGAATAATTTCAAACTACCATAGGCCAAATCCTAAAACTTTAGCTTTTTTATACCAATTGTTGGACCTAATTGTCATGCCATGCCAAAGGGAGAAGTTTAAAAATAGCCAGATTTACAACTGGCCGTTCAAACATAGCCCAATTTCAAAAGTAATCGAAATTTAGTCACTTTTTATGTAAAGATAAATCTGAGCGAAAACACTGTTCAAAACCGAAAAATACTCCAGTGTATTATGCTGGAGTTCCAGCATAAGTATACTTGAACTCCGGCATATTCTGGAGTTCCAGGATAGTATGCTGGAACTCCAGCATAATATGATGGAGTTCCAGCATAAGTACACTAGAACTCCAGCATAATATACTGGAGTTCCAGCAAGTATATTGGTCCAGTATAATATACTGGAGTTTGGAGCACCAGTGCTCCAGTCTCCAGTATATTATACTGGAGCCGGTAAAGTATACCGGTCCAGCATAATATGCTGGAGTTCATACACAAGTGCACCGAACTCCAGTATATTATGCTGGACCAGTCTCTATTGCAGCAAAACGGTGGCTATTTTTCATTGACTTGGTAAACGCTGGCTATTTTTGATTGACCAGTCCGAAAACTGGCTATACCGTGCTATTTTTACCATGCCAAATCCACAATTTTTTTTTATGGGAAATCTATATTTTTAGCAAAAACAATAGCCGGCAAGGTATATTTTTTGTATATATAGTATATACTTTTGGCTAACGAATGTAAAGTGTTGGTTGATAGGCTAATTTTGTATTTTCCCCTCCTTTTATTAAGAATTTAAGTACACGCAGGCACTTGTTAATGGACATAAGTCTCTTTGATTTAATTAAATGTTTTGAATTATTAAATGTTACCCGTTATGAGTTATCAATCAAAATTTTACATTTGAATTTAGATAGCTGAATGTTGATTAATGCTACTGATTGTATTAATTAACAATAGTATATTAAGGGTGCTCGACCCTAATAGTACACGTGAAGAGAATATCCATTAGAACATTCTCTTTAATATCCTATTTTCGAAAACTAGCCGTTACAGCTTCATCACCGCGTGCTCGACCCCGATCGTTATTGACGTCTCGACCACGGTTATCGTCGACTCTTCGGCTATGAGTCTTGCTGCTCCCTGGCCTACGTGGCCTCCGTCGACTAACAGCGGCTCGAGAATCCTTCTTTTAGTGTTATCTTATCTTAAATATTCTGGGGCAGATTTTGACCCATACATTCCTAATTTTCCCATGCGTCCTTTTCTTAAAGCACCACTTGACTTAACTACATTGCAAATTATCCTCTTTAATATAAGTTTACATTGTTAAAGTCTAGAACTTGCTATTTTAAACTTAGACCCATTTACTTATCGGGTAGATTAAATGGGTATAAGGGACATGCGTTAAATGAGTTTTCATATTAAAAAGTGTATTTTTTAATATGACATGCCAAATGGACGTTCTTTATTTTTTTGTCAAAAAGCAATAGTTACGTGACTATACTACCCCAAACAAAATGAAAGTACCTTTGGTAAGGTATTTCTATAAGTTGGATTACCGTCCATGAAAATAATTCCAGTTTTATTCATGAAAAGTTTCAAATTCTCTCAATATTTACAGCATACACCGAGAAAAAAAAAACTCTGCACTCTCTTTTGTTGGACATGAAGCCCCAACATAAAATTTCTTCACTATCCCCTAATCAACTACACCCCTTCCTAGATTATACTGGATATCGATTCATAGTACTTAGATAGGCATCCAGTTTTTTACATTTTTGAGCACGTATATGAATCTCCTGTACTATCATTTTCACTATACTCAATACATTGATTTGTTTCTTTTGAAATATACTATTATTCCTAGCATGCCAGACGTAGTAAACTGCTGCAGCAAAAGTCATTCTGTATAGCTCTGCTCCAGCACTCTTTCCTGCTGCTTTCTTCACTGCCCATTGCACTTCTTCATGACATTGTTACTTCCTTCTCATGATCCCTTGCCAGTATAACAATTTCTGCCATATTTCCCGTGATACTTCACACTCGAAAAATAGATGTTGTACTGTTTCATTGCTCCTTTGACATATTGTGCATAAGGTTTCATCAACTAACCCCCATCTTGCAAGTCTGTCTTTGGTAGCGAGTCTAGAATTGCCAGCCTTAGGATGAAAATCCATTTAGTCATCCCCTTATTGTTGCATACTAGACCTCTCCATGACACCTTTTGGAAGTTCCCTTGTAGTTTTTTGTGCAGCTTTCTGGTAGAAAAATTGTCTATCTGCTTCACATCCTCCTCTGAATATCCTGCCTCTTGAAATTGTGTCTTTGCTTTGAATATCTTCTGAATTACCCAGGAGGCATTCTTTGGCTCTGTGTCCCATATACAGTTCTCTTTTATATAGTGCGTATGAACCCACTGCACCGATATTTTCTCCTTCTTTTTACATATGTTCCATAGCAACTTACATATAGCTGCTTTGTTCCACAGCTCTATGTTTATGAAGTTTAGTCCCCTGCTGCTTTAGGTACACATAACTTGTCCCAAGATATCAATGCCTTTTTTGTTGGCTCAGCATTCCCCGACCATAAAAACCTTATGCATATTGTCTCTATGAACTGTATAATTTTCTTTGGCAAGATGAACACTTGTGCCCAGAAATTTTGGATTGTACCCAATACACTTTTGATCAATGTTGCTCTCCCTGCATAGGATAGAAATTTGGATGTCCAGCTTTGCACTCTACTCAGTATTTTATCAATCAGTGACTCACATTGAATTGTTGATAATCTTTTTGTACTCAAGGGGACACCAAGATATCTAAAGGGTAGATCACCTTTAGTATATCCTAGTATTTCCAGGATCCTTTGTTGCACCCTGCTGTCTACACCACCAAAATAAACACTGTTTTTTCTTATATTTGCCACTAGTCCAGAAGCTTTAGAAAATCTTTGAAACTGATTTTGTATTTCCACCACAGATTTTTTCCTCACCCTTGCAGAATAACAGTAGATCATCAGCAAATTCCAGCTGTATGAGATTTATTTTAGCACACCATGGATGGAACCTGAAGTTTTTGCTGCTTCCTAGTTGCTTCAGTAGTCTACATAAATACTCCATCGCAATGACAAACAGCAATGGTGAGAGTGGATCTCCATACCTTAGTCCTCTTTTTGCTTCAAATGGCTTGATTGGCTTTAAATTGACAATGATTGAGTATGATACAATGCTAATGTAGGCAATCATCCATTTTACATACTTCTCTGGAAATCCCAGTAGCGTCATTGCCTGTTCCACATACACTCATTCCACTGAGTCATAAGCGTTCTGCATGTCAATCTTTAGCATACATCTGGATGATGTATTCTTCCTCCCATAACCTTTGATAAATCAATGGCTCATTATAATGTTATCAGTGATCTCTCTGTCTGGTACAAAAGCTATTTGGCAGTTATCTATCAACTCTGTCAAAACTTCCTGCAATCTGGATGTTAAAATTTTGGATATGATCTTATATAGAACAGTGCAACATGATATAGGTCGGAACTCTTTAATATTACTGGGGGTTTTTACTTTTGGAATTAGTGTTATAGTTGTACAGTTGATTTGCTTACACATTTCTGGGTTCTCAAAGAATTCCAATACAGCTTGAGTCACCTCCTTCCCTATAATATGCCATGCTTTCTTGTAGAAAAAGGTATTGTATCCATCACAGACTGGGGCTTTGTTATCATCAATATCCTGAAGTGCTTGCTTGACTTCTTCTTTAGTTACTGCTCTTATTAGACTCAATTGTTGCTGCCTGTTCAGGTTGTTCCCCTGCTTCATCACTTCTGAACTTACTGCTGGCAATTGCACTGCTGCTGTTCCAAGTAGCTGCTTATAGAATTTTAGAATTTCAGCTTCCACAACCTTAGCTGTATTTAGTAATTGACTTGCATTATTAAACAAACTACCAATATGGTTAGTGGCTTGCCTACTCTTAGCAAAAGCATGAAAATATGTTGTATTTGCATCTCCCAGTTTGAGCCATTTGATCCTTTTTGCTTTATTATGCTTTCCTCAATTCCAGTCCATTTAGATAGCTCCTTCTTTGTCTCTTTTTCTTATGTTATACTCTCATTACTGTTGCCAGATCCATCCATTTGCTCCTGAATCTCCTCCAACTTTATTCTTGCTGCTTGAATTCTTTGACCAGTGTTGCTAAATTCTTGTCTATTCATCTGTTTCAGCTTGTTCTTTAGTAACTTGAGTTTCATCCATACTTTGTTCATTATTGTTCCTCCACCTCTTTTCCTCCAGCATTCATACACAGCATCCTCAAATTCTTTATGTTGTGCCATACAATTAAAGAACTTAAAAGGTCTCCCTCCACTCTGTCGCTCATAGTCCATTGTTATACTTAATGGGCAGTGATCAGAAAATCCAGGTTGCAATATCCTCCCTTCCATTACAGGCCATTTTTTGATCCATGCAGCATTGACAAGTATTCTATCAATTTTACTGTGGACATGATTATTAGTCCAAGTATACTTCCTTCCAACCGTTTTTAGTTTAGTTAATCCATTTCTCCAGATGAATTCTTTGAAATCTTTCACTTCAAATTCCTGTACTGGTGTCCCTTGTACCCTATCTTCATTAGTCAAGATGGTATTGTAGTCCCCTATTAACACATACGGATCAGTAATACCAGCTATATATAGTTTTTCCCATATCTTCCCATAACAGTTTCCTATCATGTATAGTATGCATACCATAAATAGCACCAAACCTAAATTTATTACCACTTTGCACCTCTGTAATCCCCCTATTATGTATTGCTGATGCACTTCATAGCACTCAAAATCCACCCTTGTCTTATCCCAAGCAATCCATATTCTACCACATGGAGCATTTGTATCGTTTTCTATCCATCTCCAATTATTGAACACCTTCTTTATGACAGCTTCAGCCTTTGCTTCTTTAACGCTATTCTCTAAGACAACCATTAGGACCACCTTATTCACCCCAATAAATTTTTTTAGTTATTTTTGCTTATACACCTTATTCAGTCCTCTAACATTCCATGCTATGATGTTCATCCTTATATAGTTCTTTGATTCATATTACCAGCTCTGCCTCTATCTCTAGGCAGTTCACTCTCCTTGTCATGTTCCCCTGTCATTTGAACTATTCTTTGTGCAGTGTCTACCAAGGCTTTGAAAGCATTACCAGTGTTGATTTCCTTCTCACCTCTCCCATCTCCATTCTTCTTAGATGCAGACTTGCCTTTTGCCAATTGCTATTGTTCTTTATTTGAATTGTTACTCTGGATCATTTCACTAATCTCTTCCATTTGCTCCAGGAATCTACCTCATGTATCAATTTTATCAGTCTTTGGGTCTAGCTTCCTCACAACTTTCCATATCTTTTTCTGATTCTGCATACCATATGTTTGATGTCCCACCTCTTGATTCTACATTTTCTGGTTGTGACATGAGTGTTCGATTTGACAGCAAGTTTGACAGTATTGAGGTTTCCAGTCATATTGTACCATTTGCTCAATCACTTTACCATTTGGATCAATCAGTTTAATTGTCCCTGGTAGAGTCCTTGTTATATCCATTTCTATAAGAATCCGAGCATAGGAAATCCTATCAGCCACAGTTGTGCAAGTAGCATACAGAGGCTTCCCTAGACCACTTTCAATTTTGCTAAGAGCCATGTTACTCCAGTAGTTCAATGGGAGTTTTGGAAATTTTACCCATAGCGGAATAGTTTTAAAAACCTCTTCATTGAAATCAAACCCCTCAGCCCATGCTTTTAGTATTACAGGTCTATTGTTCATAGTATAAGGCCCATTCATCAATACCTCATATCTTTCTTCAAAACTATGCATCAGAATTATAAAATATCCATCACTATGGAATAATACTTTAGACTTTCTGATTTTTCCCCATTGAGCAGCAACAAATCGTTCAATAGCTCCTATAGTTGGAGTATTTCCAACTACGTACATTATTATTGCTCGATTCCATTTCTGCTTCTCCTCAACTATATCTTCCTCCTGAATTTGAACTACTACCTCACCCTCTTGTATCACCGGTGGTACATATGTTAGATCCATTCCTTTTGCAGCTAATTTGTTCTCATGCAATAATCCAACCCATGACCTTCCAAAATTGGTTGGTCTCGTCTGATTCTGCTTTTCTTCCTCAGCTCGTATAATCATTGTTCCATTGCTCTGCTCCCTTAAGACACTGGTTGTTACTGTTTCATTGGAATTTGCTTTACTTGTGCTTGCTCCTCCAATGCCGACTAGCGATATGTTCATCTTGAGTACCCCTTGATTAGCAGGACTCACTGGGATAGTTGATTTAACACGATTGCAGCTCAGATCTGGCCAATTCAGTTCACTATCACTGTCGAGATCCAGTTCCTCTTCCTGCATTTTCCCCTTTGCATGTTGTTTTCCTTGGTCCTTTGAGCTATTTTCCTTGATTCCACGATCGATTACTGGCGTTTTATTTTGATTTTTCCTTGGCCTCCCTCTTCCTCCCATTTCCGGGGGTGGCACAGGTTATCTCATCTAACGTGCGCCAAGAGAAAAGAGAAGCCCTATTTTGTAATAATGTTGCTTTATATTCTTGGTTAGTTCTTGGACTTTCGTTAAAGTACAAAAGTAGGAGCGTTCATAAAAACCCGAAAAATCGAACCAAACCGACTAAAAAAACCGATACTTTTTCGATTTGGTTTAGTTTTGGTTTGGAATTTTAAAAACCGACCAAATTTGGTTTGATTTTGGTTTTAATAAAAAAATAACCGAAAAAATCGAACCAAACCGAATATTGAAGTAGTTATTATATATATATATCATTACTATTATATAAGAGAGGATAAGCAGGTGATGGTCAACATGCCTGCTTGGCATAGCTAAGGGTATTTTAGTAATTCTCTAAAAGCTGAGCAACATGGTTGGCCAAAAAGTAATTTTACTGCAGCTGTTTCATAAAGTTTTTAGTGAGTTGACAAAACTATCCTCTCTTATCTCATCAACCATCAGCCAACCACTCTTTATTGCATAATTGCCTTTACGTATTTTGGTAAATTTGGCAAAGTTTGAGCATAATTATATAGTAGTGAAAAGCAACAAATGTAGTGTCGGTTTGAAGTTTTATTTTATGTGAAATCTTCTATGCAGTACATTCTCTCTCTCTTTTTCACTTGTGACTCTATTTTAGTGATATGATTACATTAAAATAAAATTATTTTAGCGGCTGACAAAAATGATTACTGTAGCTACTTATGTACAGCTTAGAATTCCCTTCGAAGTGTGGTTCTTGCTTTTTGCTAATTGTTGTTGAGTGTAGAAAAGTGGTATTTTTGAGGTGTCTGTTATGCTTAAACTATTCTACTATTGCTGATTAAAAATCCAAATTAAGATTTAACAAAATGACCAAATTTTTCACTGACTGTTACAATATTTTTAAAATCTATAATATCTTAGATAAGTTTAAAATTATCAGAAATATTTTCCAATGCATTAATTTTTCAATTACAAAACCAAATAACTTAAATAATTTACTAATAAAAATATAATCATGATAGTGAAATATTATATAGCATATAACACTATACGCTATCCAACTTATAAATGAACATAATTTAGCAATGAAAATTCAAGTTCCAGTGACACTATTAACAAGTGATAAAATATAATATAAACAGAATTAAATATGTACCAATAATTTACAAGATATTAGTTTCTTCCGTACCAAGTGTCTATGTTTTTTGGCCGAATAAATTACTGTATTGAAAGCAGTAAAGGAGGTTAAGAAGTATCATTACCAACACGCACTAATTTCGGCGATGTAGTTCCACATCAAGTGTCCATATATTATCTCGCACATGACAACTAACCTTTCATTTTGGTCTAATTTCTTTTTTTTGCTAAAGGGAAGAAAAATAATTTGATACAGCCAAATACTATATAGAAGCTTCAAAATCAAGCATTAAAATAGTTGTTAATTACTTCTACTAATAGAAGCTTCAAAATCAAGCATTAAAATAGTTGTTAATTACTCCTACTAATAGAATGATGGCAACAACGCCTAATTAAAACTAACAAAGTATTACTAATAACTTTAATATGAACCAAGTAGGATAAGGAATTCACGGTTAAATTAACGAAAAAGTTATACTAGACCTAAAATTAGCGATACTCATCTCTAAAATCTTATAAAAATAAAATAGTAGAGTAAAACGGAGTCCAACTTAACATAAAAAAGAAAAACAAGTACTGACCTTGCTTGAAAAGTTATTTTCCTAATTAATATTTAAATAACTTTAAAAATTATGTATATAAGCTTTTGAGGCATTACATGGTGTCTTACCCGTACATTTAGTAGCTTTCACGGACTTCCCTATGATCAAAAATATTTTAGCTAAATTAATTTGGCATTATGACTTTGAAAAATCAAGAGGGCATTAATTAGTATTTTCCAAATCCATCCTTATATAATAAATGATCTACAAAATATGACGATATACAAAGAGTAATTTAAGGAGATATAAAGGATTTTAGTTAAATAACACTTATATCAATATTATTAAATAATTCTTTTAATGAGCATGTCAAAAACTTAGAAGCACTTATTTTGAACGAGAGATAACATCGTCTAAGAAATTATCCATAGGTATTTCAATAACTTGACATTATAAGTAAAATTTATATTATTAATGCATATAAATTAAGAAAAATTTTATATAGTTGTGAGCCATAACTATTGTAGTCTGTTTCATACAGGCATAATATGCAAGTTTTCCATACAATCTCAGTAACGAGATGTAGAATCCTAACAATAGATTCTTATAGAATAAAACTAGAAGCTCAACAGTTGGACTTATCTCAAATTTTGTTACTGTGAAACGTTATTGCTTCTTTTATTTTGCTTACTGTTGCTTCTTGTAACAACTTTTTTAAAGAACTATTGGGCCCGGGCTTAGCCCGGGCAGCACCCCACTAGTTAGTATATAAGTGAGANATATATATATATATATATATATATATATATATATATATATATATATATATATATATATATATATATAAAGTTTCTAAATTTTTATGTTTGTTATAAATAGAATTTTATTTATGGTGAATGTCTATATTTAGAGAGATTCTAGGGTTTATTACTTGGTGGCTAAGTCACCATCTCCCTATAAATAGAGGTTTTTATTCCATTGTAATTCATCCCAAATCAATAAGAATTCTCTCCCTCTACTTTTCTCTGCAATACTCTTCTTCTTTTTTTATTATTTCATAACACGTTATCAGCACGAGACTCTAACCAATTGAGTAGAAGCTTTGGGATTGAGCATAATGATTGTCAATTATTCCATGAACTTCCTTCATGATTAAATTCTGGATTTAAGGTAAGTATTTTACCGTATTTTTCTCTTTTATTCTATACTTTGATTTTAAATACAAGCAAAGACAACAAAGTTTGATTATAACTCTAATGGAGTTTGTAAGAAATTATAACCACCTGAAGTGGTAAAATTTATATGCCTCGCCATGATCAAATTCATGTATGATTGTGGGCAAAGAATTGAAAACCCGTCCCATTGAATTTGCTCCATTCTCATTCCCTTAAGAGAATGTGATAGCAGTATGTGATAAGTTTGAAAGAAGACAAAATTATTACTATGATTGCATCAATGGATATGGACGTGGCAATAGACGAAATTATAATTGTCATCATTTGTGGTAAGAAGAACAATAAGGATTCTCAAGATAAGCCTTCACTCTGTGAAGTTGATGTTTGTCATCGATTTGACATAAGATATCGTAAAGCACATACAGATGCTTATGGTCCATTCATGATGTGAATGTGATAACATCTTATTTATGAATACATATTCATTTTTGGAAGAATATGAACGTGCTAGTGGAAGTGAATATACCACACTCACCTCTAGAGGGATGTTTGAGATGATATAAGAAAATAATGTCATTATTATGGCATGAATGGTCATTGGTCACGTACTTATTGTACGCCAAAATATTTTGGCATTGTGATTGTTAAAAGACAACGGTAATGCAAGAAACAGATCTTGCATATAATTTTGACCATAACCATAATGGTATAACTTTCTCTTTAAAAGAGATTTTCACCATATGGGTGTTGATGAATATGTGGTACTACAAAATTAATTGAGAACTCTGCAAGATCCAATTATACTATTTTGGAGAAACACAATTAATTACCAATAAGGTATTGTGTTGTAGTAAGTCTCAAAGAAACTTATTCAGTTTCCAAAGTATACGCGAAAGCGGTTGATTATATTGAGACTATATATAAAGGAAAGATTTAATATCTTCTATTACTACAACTTGTAGCGGGGTAATATGTATGTGAAAAGCTACCCGCTTTATTCTCCAATTTGTACTACATAAACAAAAGAATACCACAATGAAGTGGATATTTATTGATATAAAAATCCATATCATAATAAACTTGGAGTTTATTCATAATTGCACACATCATGGTGTAAACCTGAAGTTTATCAATATTGATATCCAGTTGGCATAATTGGTTTAGCCATTGTTAATTCAAGTATGATGTGCAAAAATAAAAGAGAATTCACATGGGTAAATATTAAAGAACTAGAAAGTTCTTTACGAATTCTCTTACATTGCTTGTTCTCATTAATTAATAGACCAATTAAAATTGGGAATGAATCCCATGAATGCTGGAAGTATCAAAGGTGAATATGGGTCCATTCACCTGTCATGTATACCACATAAGATGCATCTATGAGATGGTTACATGTGCAATTATTATTGATCTGCAACTTGGTATTTGCGAGGTAACTTGCTCAATAATTTAATATAAAGCATAATTTCCATATTTTTTATTCAAGATAGTTCTTCTTGATAAGTTGGTTTACATCACAATTGGTTTAGCAAAATGATTTATTGAGTGCCTCCACTTAATAGCTAAACTATTGCTTATGAGAACAAAGTTATCTATATCAGTTTGATATAGGTTATGTACGAAAGTATATTACATTCTCCCCTCACAAGTGGTTCAGGGTCAGGAACCAAATAATTCTATCTTATTATTATTGATGTGCGGTGTATATTTTGATTAACACCATAATGCACAAAGATGGGTTCTCAAAGTTGAGGAAACAAGTTAGTTTTTCTAACATGAGGGGGAGACAAGATACAACAGTTGAGAAAAAGTTACATGGAATGAATTATCATTTATACATCTAGATCCTCGAATATGAACTTGAAGTTCATAAAAGGATAATTCATGTGCAATTTATTGCAAAGCATGCCAGACGCATTTGCTGACCCAAAGAAAGTAACTATATTCTCATTGCAAATGCTCCTATTAAGTCCTAGAAGGACAAAGTCTATGGTACGCTTAAAGCGTATAGACAAATCGGTTTCAAATAAACTTCTTGATAAAGAAGATGAGCAAATGATCAAAATGATCATAATAAAGGAGGCAAGTAATCTAGAAGATCACATGACATAACACTTCATAA